GCTCATACATGACATCACACAACTCCACCAAACATATTCACATCAGATGACAAATTCAATCCAAAGATGGCCCACATTAGTTTTACACACATCCCACATATAGGAGGCTGTCAGTGGGATGTCTTGATTTCAAAAATGGTTTTAATAATTCACAGAATGATATTTCTCAAACATCTCTGTGCTTTTCAAAAATCTTAGCCTATTATTTATTAAAACCACTTCTGAATTTATAGAAAACCGCAACCACAAAAATCAAAAGGTGGTCATCACGTTTTTTTTTAGTATTTTTTAGTCTTCATTTAGCTTCCAATGGAAGCTACACGTGGCTGTTAGAAGACACATTGCAGAGGCATGGTCCAGTGTTATTACCATCAGGAAACCCACCTTGAGAAATACCATGCAGCCCCCGCTGGAGTGCATAAAGGTAGCAAATGACTGCAAAGAGGCTGAAGGTGATTAGCACCACTGAGATGCAACAAAGGATAAAAAAAAGATGAAAACAAGTATTTATTTTTCTTTTAAATGCAATTGTTTATGATACGCAATGTTTTAGCACATAAAATGTCATTACTTTAGCTAAATGAAGATATATACAGACCTATAAAGGTGCTCAACGGGTGACCATTTGTTATTGTTATCAGTAGCTAAGAGGAGTCTTGTGTCACATCCCAGCTTTAGTAAACACAGTGGAGATGGGACAAAACTTACTTCTAATGAGCCTGTTCACAGAACTCATAGGGGTGTATTCACTAAGCTGCCAAAGGATCTAGCTGTAGCTTCGGCTGATCCTTCGGCTAGCTTCGGCCCCAGGACCCCTTCGGTTCAGTAGAAACGAAGGGCTGCTGTACGTGCTATTCACTATAGTTCGTACAGCTCCCGAAGTTGACCGAGCGGCTCAGTCGAGCCGAAGGCATATGCCTCGGCTCGACTGAGCTGAGGTGAAAGGCGAAGCTGGCCGAATGGCCGGCCATTGGCTAATACGGCTCCCGGCCGCCCAGGAGAGAAAAACTTTCTCCCAGAAAGGTTTACTCTGCTCGATCGTCCACTCTGCACAGAGGTAATTTGTAAGATTGATAAATTACTGTGTTGCTCTCTGCCAGCTTACTTGTCTGAAAGTGGTTGGATTCTGTGTGCTGTTCCAAACCTCCCCTGATGCAATTGTGGTCAGCTTTCCAGATTTATATAGTGGGCCTCAGGTGCAGCCCCTGACATGACCAAAGGGCTACATGTAGTAAAAAAAAAGCTGTCAAAGACTGCAGACCTGCTACAGGAGATGCTCAAAGACTGCAAACATTCTACATGCGATAGTCAGAGGCTACAAACCTGTTAAAGCAGATGGCCAGAGACTAAAAGCATACTACAGGAGATGGTCAGAGACTACAGACATGGTATTGGATTTGCTGTAGACAGGGGACAAATTACACGAGACCACTACTATTACAACCCCTTTACTTACGTCTGACATTTCTCTCAACAAGACCCATTATAAGGTTGGGTTCACCCCTAGGCGTACCGAATATGCGCGTTTGCCGCGCGTTTCGTGCCGCACATTTTTACCGCGATTCGTGGTAAAAAGACGTACAAAAGCGTTTCCAAGGGCTATCCGGCTGTATCCTAATGGATGCGCGTGGCAAATACGCCCCAAAGAAGCTCCTGTACTTCTTTGAGCGTAGGGCGTTTTGCAGCGTGTTCCTAAGGGCTGTAAAACGCCCAGGTGGGAAACATGCACATAGGCAATCATTGGTTTTCACATGTTGAGCGTTTTACAGCGCGTAGGAACGCGCTGTAAAACGCCCAGGTGTGAACCAGGCCTAAAAGAGGGGGGAAAAAGTGATGGACAGTACAGAAAACAAAAAAAAAAAACAGAGTTACATAAATAAAACAAGCTATTTATCTTCTAGAACCCATTCCAAAAAATAATATTTATCCTTTTGAGTAAACACCTAGACAAGAGCCCTAACCAAGAGCCACAATATTGGTTCCAAAGGGACACAGGTTGGGCACTAGGGTTCTAATGTCTGGGACCAGCCTAAGAGACCAGCTAATAATCTGCAAGTGGCCACCTGAACTTGGCACCTGGTCTGTGTCCAATCCAATCACTCATATCTAATCGATCGCAAATCGCAACATGTACTGATCGATCGTATTTTCAGTTGATACCGTACAGTATGTGTTTCATCACCAGTTTAATTGATGGTGAATCGCTTGTCAGCGATTGCTCGTATCTAAATCCAGCACTAATCGATACGTGAACTGATAGATCATATTTTCTATCACCATGGTATGCGTCCCATCCTTAGAGTTTTTTACCACATGTTGAATTACTT